GTGGCGGTGTCCTTTCACATCCATGAATCTATCCAAATTATTTCGCAGAACAACACACAATCTTCTCCCATTCGTTTCATTTTGAGGAAATGTTGGCCATGTTTGGAGCAGGCAGAATGCATGCCTTGCCTGCCGTGGGACAATATCCCTCATGAGATTGGGCCAAAATATCCAAAGGTCAGGTCGATTTGAGGAGCATAAGTGACTTGCCAAATTTTCCCAACGACCAGGGACTCTCTAGTGTATATTTAGAACGCGGCTCGTGTGGAATGCAATTTCTCAGCCGCAGGGCTCAAAAGCAGCCATGCAAAGTGCAGGATGGACACGCAAGCATTTAAATATTTCCAGGCACTCAAATAATTCAAAACACTCAAAGAAATCGAACAAACAAATCACTCCGAGGAAATCAAAGCTTCGAACATTTCAACGCACTCAAAACCTTCAGAGCACTCGAAGCATTCAGTCAAAGATTCAGAGCACGGAAGCTTGTTAAGTTTTCACATTTTCTCTGTGCGTTCGACCTGCGGAGCTTGGAAGCTGCAATGGATGCGCTTGATCGCATTCTAACAGACTGGCAGCGCTGCAAGCCCCTCGGCTCAACGTTCGAGTCCCCCACTTTCCACTCGCGTGAATGAAATTTGATGTCTAGCTTGCGTAGGCCGCGGGGCGCAGTGATCCCAGTGGAGGGACTGGCAAAGGTGCGATGCTTCCGGCCGAGAGTCGATCGAGAGTTCTTGTCACTGAAATCAGTATCCGGATCGTCAGCCGCCCGCAGCTCCGGAACCTCACCCCAAACGCGCACACTGTCTGATCCCCAGCGGCAACGCCGACACCTGGGGCGCTTTGGGGCAACGGGCCAGACGGGGATCTTGCAACGCCTTGTGCTAGGAGCTGGTGGAATCAGGTGCCGCTGCTCAGAGCACTTGCAAAGCGCAGCAGTCCCGCAAAATTGCACCCCTATATATATATAATATGTATAGATATATACACGTGTGTGTGTGATTTGCTTGTGCCTTTGTTTCTGTTTTATACCCGTTGTGGGATGAGCCTCCCCAAACATGCAGTGAACATTCAGTCTTGCAGGTGAGACAAGCGATGCTGGCGAGGGCGTTGTGCCCTTCCTGCTTTTCTGGAAGGCACGCGCAGCACTCCGATGCCAAGAGCCATCATGGAGTTGTTTGGAGCGAAGCTCCCATTGGGGGTGATTTTGGCCAAGCATCCTCTAGGAGCTCACATTTGCCTGTTCAGCTTTTCGAGGTGCCTGACACTCAATGCCGATGCAGGTGATGCAGCTCCTCGCATTTCGGATATTCATCTCCAGCCCAAGCATGTATCGGAAGTTGCCAATCCGCAATTCAAAGATTTGTTTTGTCCCTCAAAGCTCACCTGGGAGTGTATGGTAGGCTAGCAGGGGCGAGCCTTCCGGCTTCAACAGTACACCCCTTGCCCCTTGCGCAGGTCTTGGAAGAGCGCGACGCAGCGGTAGACGAGGTTTTCCTCCCGCGTCCCAAGCGGTTCATGGTGTCGTGTTCGATGCAGGCGCCCATGGCGGCCGAGCTGCGGGGCCTCCGCCAAGCGCTGCTGGGTCGCCTGGACCGGACTATGCTCGGACGGCGATGGGCGAATCGCATGATTTGTCCAGTGCCGGTGCTCGACAGGAAAGGTAAAGAATGAACAGAAAAGTGATGCATCAAATATGAAGCTGATGTGCAGGATCGCAATGGCGGGACCGTTTCCAGCAACTTCTTGCTGGAGGCGGAATGCGAGAGTCTCAAGCTTGACACGGCCGGAAATGAAGGGGGCGTGAAGGGGGCTTGGCAAATGAGTTGGGAGGCGGTTCGCAGAGCGCATCGCAAATCGGCAGATCCAACCGCATGGCGGCCACTCAAGGAGGGTGAGACACTTGCCCGTGTCATGGAGAAAGCGACGCTTACCCAGGAGGTGGTTGCCAACGTCGCTGCTGCGGAGACCTCCACAGCTGGGTGGTGGGGACAGCACAGCATGGCCCTCGGAATCTGCACATTTCAGGAATCTTTCGTTTTGACAGAGTTTCGTGTGACGCGTGCGGACAGCTCATATTGAGACCTTAGGCTTAAAGCTGGCCCCAGATGAGCTTTCCTCGCTGCTGCTACCCTGGCTGCAGGAAGGGCTGCGCAGCGTAGTGCGCGAGAGATGAATGCGCAGACAGCAGTCCAGGAGCTTGTCGAGGACTATTGCCGCGGCAGCCGCAGTGCAAAGATTTTCTGCGTGAAGGCAAGAGCACACACGCTGGAGTCCAGATTTCATGGATGAGCCAACAGAGTTGCCCATGAGAAGCGATAAGCCTTCACTGTTCCTGTCATCACAGTGTCAGAAAGCTGTTATGTGACATGCATTTGACCCAGCGCCAGGATGTGGCAGGTGTCCGTGTTCGGGATGCCTGTCTCCACCTGTGCCGCAACGAATGGGACGGGAGAGCTGTTGACATCGTTCAGCTCTGGATAACCTGCACACTTGACAAGCCTTGCTTTCATTGCAGGATGTAGAAGCCGCTTTGCAGAGCTTTTTCGATGCATCAAAGAAAGTTGGCAAAGAGGCGGCCATGTCCAGGTTGTTATATTGACGAAAGCTCTCCCAGGCACTCAGCTGGAGCTCCGGTGGTGCCAAGCTGCTGGGCCAAAGCAGTTCCCATGGCATCGGATGCATCGATCGGATGGCAATTCGAGGCTCAGACAAAATGAGCGGGACTGCCCCATTTGCGTGGAGAAATACTCCACAGGCAAGTGCTTTCATGCCTTCCATGCCCTTCCATGCCTTCCGGCTTCCTCTTTGTGTCTCCGGCAAGGCAACAAGTCCATCATGACGAAGTGCTGCTTTCAAGTTCTTTGCGAGAGGTGCCATCAGAGACTCACGGACTCGACAGGCGCGAGTGCTTTGGCCAGTTGGCCACTTGAGACCCGACTGGCAACAGTCGCCTGCGGCCACACCAATGACACTGGCAATAGCCCTGGCAAAAGACCCCCAGTCGAGAAGAGCACTTGAGAGTTGAATAGGGTAGGTGTGATGCAACCGTGTTAATGCCGTGAATGCAGTTCTCAAGATTTTGCTGCCAGGCCGCCTCTCTTGTCCTTTCTGCCGCGGTGCCGATGGTTTGCAGAGGGTGGACTTCGATTTCGAGGAGCTTCGCTCGAGCGGACTCCAACGTACCCCAACCATGCAAAGATCCAAATGAAAGCTAATGGCTCGCGAAAGAAGTGTTGGAAATCATGTTACATGTTTGCAGGAGGCTCCGAGGCCCAGCCGTCGGTGGCTGACGCGGAGGGTCCGATGCTTTTGAATCAGCCCTTTGGATTGGAACGCCATGTGACCAAGGTGGAGCTTCCACCAGGATCCGCACTGAGCAGTTCAATGTGTAGGCCATGAGTAAAGCCCACTTGAGATGCAAGTCGATCCCCTCCTCGATGAAAGGTGAGCACACCTCTCTCAGCTTCCGCGCCTGAGGCTGGCGTCGTGTCGGCAGCAGCTTAAGACAGCTGGCACCCACCTGCCGCAGCCTCACAAACTCCGGGCACAATGGGCACGGAGCGGCAGAAGCGTTACATTTCTTGTTTCGGCGTAGTTCGGATGACTCCAACATGCTGAATGGATGGATAACTGGCTTTGTTCACCGCTTCTTTTGCGGTCAATCTCTGGCCTGTATTGCTTCTGTGTTGTCCTCGGCAAGCCGAGGCCTTTTGTGCGTTGCCGTGGTAGCCTGCAATGTATGCTGCGTCACCTGAAAATAGTCGATGTGCAAGGGGTTGTGCATGGTTGTTTGAGGACATCTAGATGCAAGGGCTGTGGGGGGGCAACTTGATTCCAAGTTTCAAGTGCCTTGCTTGTTCGAAGGTTGCAAGGTTAGAAGGGCTATGCGAACGCCGCGCTATGCGAACGTAGCGTGATGCCGCCTAAGCGGGAGGGCAAGGCCAAAGCTGGCCCTGGCGCCAAAGCGCGCGCCAGGCCGGGCTTGGGTCGGCCACCCGGGAGCGCCTTCTTTGGGTGAAATTGAAAGGCGACGTCAACGTTCTTTTTTGATGACACTGCCAGTTGGGAGGTCTGCGAGAGCTGCAAGCCCCGAGCCCAAAGTTGAGCCCAAGGATGCGACACCAAGGACGGGGGTCGAGATGCTACAAGAATTTCACTGAATCTGACGCCAGGTCAAAGCGCGAGCCCGCTATGGCCTTGGGTATGGCTCGATGCAACTCGAAAATCCTGGCAGTTGCCCAGAAGTTTTGGACACAGCGCTGAGAGTCCAAGGCCAAAGAGCGTGTGCCAACCTGGCGCAACAAGACGGTGCAAGGCGCGGGTGAACTCTGCGGCTTGCGCGGCTTGCCAGTGGAATACAGCGAGGCCTCTTCTGCGATCCATACATCGGGGCCACCAGCTTGGAAGGTGGCAAGCCTTCACAGGCGAGAGCCCACAGTGATATCCCACTTAGTCACTTGCAACCAAAGTGACCTTACAGGTGCTGAGTCCCGGCCCCAGCCGGCATGCCCTCGCGAGTGAGCTCCATGTGTTTGAGGCCGTACATTCCTTAGGTCCTTGCACTGTGCCGGCCAAGGCGACGTTGTGGAGATGGGCGCAAAGCTTCTGGCAAGTCGGGCCACGTGGCCGTTGCCCTTGGCCGACTCAGAGGTGGATGCCTTCCGCCGCAGCCCGAGATCTGTGTATCGGTCCAGGCCTTCAAGCGGCCTTTCTTATTTCACAATGCTCAAGACATTGTCAGCCGGGCAAATGGGCAGCGTGAGCCAACGCTAATTCCGGCTCTTCAAATGTGAAGCATGGAGAATGCCTTTCTCGAGTCATGGACTGGAGCCGATCGAGCCAAGGTGAGTCGCTACAACTGCTGAAGGAAGCCCATGACCGTGGCCAAGAAGGGCAAGCAGCTTTCGCTAGCCCAGAGGCCTGCGAATTGTTGCAACACATGACACCCGTATCGTGGGCATGGGCCGTGTTTCCGCTTATATCACGTGAAGGGCGGCATGAAGTGGTGCCAGAGAACGCTGTATCTTGGTCTCATAGGATTAGATATGACATGCTTCCACAGAAGCCAGGCTCTCAAAGCGAGGGGATAAGTCGCCTAAGGAAAGAGATCACCGCGCTGGAAGTGGGCAAGCGGTGGTTATCCGAGGGCGGCTGGCGCGGGGAGAATGGAGGTCATGCCATTATGCTGCTGAGCAGAGAATTGATTTGCGAATAGCAGATGTGCCTTGCAGTGCAGCGCAAGGTACATGATTCAGAAGAAATCAAAACGTGCCCTCTCCGCAGCTATCATGTCCTCAGCTTCACTTGACGAATTTGCGGTTCCAGGTGAGGTATCCTTCACGGTGTTGAACACCGGCGCAGGGATTCACTCGTTTCACAGCTGCGACGTGCAGTCGCTGCAGCTGGGCAAGGTGCGCTACCAAACGGGGTCCACGCCTTGGGTGTTTCGGTGTTTGCTTTGCTCGGACGGAATTTGCTGAGGCTTTGCTTGAGCCCAGTCCAGATGGATTGCCTAAATTTGGCATTCCTCTATACTTTGCTGCTCGGATCAACTTGCAATGCGCATGCATGGCAACGTGGCAGTTTCCAAGGTTCAGAATGTACTATGTGCGGCATCGCACACACAATAGTTTTCAGCTGTATGAAGTCCTTCTCCCAACTCTGAAGTCATCAGATGTGTCCCATTCCGGAGCTTGCTTTACCACCCCCCAGCGTGCCGGGACCTGCTATGCCAAATGTGTGTTCCTGGGTCTCCGCACGCTGCTGGCGGAGCTTGGCGTATCCTCTTCAGGTCGGCGCAGGTGCATGTTGAACTACCGCATTTGCTTCCTGGAGCGCATAGCCCAGGAATTGGATGAAGCGAGTCAGCCGAGCCTCACCAACAGCGACCGCATCACGCTGAGTGTGGCTCTGAAGCAGGTGGCAAGGCGCTGCGTCCGCGACCCCGAAGCTGCCAGCGCGCAGACCCGAACCCACGCTTGCATGCAGCGGATACAGGGGGCCGTGCGCCTGAAGATTCAAGACCCGTCGCTGGATCGAGCACTTTGCGCAGATGCCCTTCAGCATCAGAACCTTCGGCTCCAAGGCGCTGAGTTCCGCGGACTTCAAGGCTTTCAACTGCTGGCATTCCGTTCGCTGGTGCCACCAGATGTCCGCAACGCCTTTGCAGGTCCTTCAGCATCCAAAGTCTTAAACCCCCATGTGGACCTCACCGGTCTTGCCTCTGCCAGGGCTGTCGCTGGCGGACCCACGCTGGAATTTCTGCCGCAAGCGCTGCTGATGTGCGAGACTTGATTCTGTCAGATCTTGTCGGCTTGGTGCTGCAACACCCACAAATTTGAGAACCACTATGTTCACTTCCGGGAATCTGGGAAACACTGCGTCCTCTCACAGGGAAGACACTCATCGTTTCCCTTTCGGGGTACTGTGTTTCTCGCTTGAGGACCGGCTGGAGGAGGTGCAATGCTCGCGGGCCTCCAAGCACCTGATCATCGGAGTGGTGGAGACCTTGGTCTTCGAGGCTCGGGACCTGTGGGACCTCGTGAGCTCCGAGACCTCGGAGTCCTCGGAGTCCTCGGAGTCCTCGGGACCGTCTCTGAGTTTGGGCCGGGGCCGGGAGCTGCTGGGCGCGGCGCACCGCCTGGGAGCGCACTACGTGGCGGCGGTGCGCTCCGTGGGCGGGGGGCGCAGCACCGGCGCGCACGCGGTGCTGGTGCTGGCCGCGCTGCTGGAGCTCTTCGAGGACCTCCTCCGTGCCACGCCCGGCCTGGAGCTGAACCAGCTCCTGAACGAAGAACCAAAAGCCGAAGAAACGAGAGGAACGAGAGGAGCGAGAGGAGCGAGAGGAGCGAGAGGAAGAGCCAAAGGCGTGTGGTGGTCCCTACGTCCCTGGGAGAAGCCGGATGGGCCTGCACTCAGCTTCGCGGAGCTGACTGCCTGGTTGCCGATGCCATCACCTGCAGCTTGCGTCTTGGATATGAAAAATATGTTTGGCACCTCTCTTTCCCAAAGCAATTCCACTCAAGCCCCTCTCAAATATGCACCTATCAAACTAGCAGCAGTCATAAGATCGCAAGCAGCCTTGATGCCAGATCACGTTGACCTACATCCAAGTTTCTTGTGTATGCGGCTCAGATCGAATTGCTTTTGGTCCTGTTTCCCAACTCTGAAGGCGAAGTGCGGAGCAGGATTTGCAGGCGCCACGAGAATGACAAGCAGTCCTTGTGGGCAGGAGCACACGACACCTCCGCGCTGTTGGTTGGACCGCCTGAAAGCGAAGAAAGGTCGGAGGCCACGGGCGTCAGCAAGAACTTGTTGGACTTTTCCCGGAGGCTGCGGCGTCTCTGCCCGGGCAAGCCATCTCTGCCAGACGTGGACCGTCCATACCAAGACTGGGAAGTGGACCTCTCTGCTGCCTTCGACGAGCAGGTGGATGCAAAGTGCCCCGAGTGGGCGCAGGCCAGAGACTTGGCGCTCTTTTACCAAATGCTCCTGGCAAGCCTTCCGAGCCTCCCCAATTCCCTGGCTGGCGGAGCTGTGCCCCCAGCAGATCATGTCTTGATGGCCAGAGAAGCGGCAGAGCTCAGCTTCAAATTTGGGCTTTTCAACCCTCCGGAAAAGGTCATCGTGCATGTGGAGCATGTGTGCAGCCTCCCGCCTCGCCGAGTCAACAAGTTGTATCCGCATGCATCTTTGACACATCCCAAGCTGCTGTGCCAAGATATGAGCTACCTTCGATTTGGAGGAGCTATGGAGAATGAGCTGCTGTCCTTGAAAAGACTCCCTGACTTTGATAGTTCCCTGACACAGGCACAGGCAGAATCACTGCTTAGCATTCTGAGTTGCCCGGGCATCCGAATCCCTTTGCTGCTGCAGTTTGTGGTGCCCAACCACATCGCCTTGATGCACCATCGCCAGTTTCAAAGGATTTTCTTTGCGTGCTTGTTCGAGCCGGGGCTGTTCGACACCTCCAAGCCCTCGCTTGACGCGAAAGTCCCATCGCAGGAGCCCATGGGGACAGAGTTCGGCTGGTTGAGCGAGGAGTTGGCGACGAGTCCGCAGCTGGTATTGCCCTTGTTGAGCCAGCTCTTCGAAGCCATGAAAGACTTGGGCAACGGGGACTGCGACGGTCCACTCGTGCAGCCCTTCCTTTTCGTGGTGCATGTGGCGTTGTTGGTGCAGGACTTTATAGAGCAAGCCAAGTCAGAAAAGTCGGAGAGATCAGCGCGTGAGTGCCTGGAGGAGCACGCGCGGCTCTTCCGACGCTTCACCCAGAAGTTCGCGCGGAAGGTGATCGCCCGGTGGATCGGGCAGGCGAACTCCGCCAAAAGCTACGATCGTTTGATGCAGTGCCACGCGCACCTGGCGATGACCGCGTGGCCGGTGGCAGCTTTGGAAGACGGTGACGTGCAGAGTCTGGGCGTGGCAGCCTGCACGTTTAGCCTGTGGAGCGAGAAGCTGGGCGATGCCAATTCTGTGGAATACGCAGGGGACCAGGCGGACGTGATCCACCGGGTCTTCGCCACCCTGAGTCGGCAACGAGTGCCCTTGTTGAAAGCAGTGGAGAATGCCGAAGAGCAGGAGCGCAACAAGTTCTTCAGCTTCATTCTGGCAGGTGCCATCGGCACGGACCGGTTGCCAGAATTGTCTTGGCGCGCCACTGAGCAGATGCCCAAGGTCTGCATCCGCGTGGTGGAGACCAGCCATCCCATTTGCAAAGCCGACTTTAGCAGTCGCAAGGTGTGCCTTCCAAAGGCAGCGAGGATCATTGTGCGCTTCGACCCGCTGAGTCAGCTTGAGTCGGGAGATTTTCTCAAGGTGTACGCAGGCCAAAAGAAAGATGCCTCCAAGGTGGTGTGGATGGCCGGGCGCAGCGATGTGGCTAAAAATGGCTGGCCTGGAGTTGATGCTCCGGGTTTGGTCATCAACTCGGAGTGCTTTCTTGTCATCATGGAGCGTTTGATGCACGTCAGAGCCACTGAGGAAGAGGTGGCCTATGGATACCGTCTCATTGCTGAGGCGGAGATGCCTTCGAGTGCAGTGACTTCCATGCAGAAGCAGCTGAGCACAGCCTCTGCCTTCGTTTGCGCATCGATTCTGTCGGAGGTGGGTGGAGACGTCCAGGAGGCCGTGGAGCAGTACGGCCAGAAAGACGTCCGCCAGAAGTGGGAGGAGTTGGAGACGTTGAGTGAAGCCCGGAAGAGCAGCTTGGGGCTCCGCGTGGGTGGCTGCTTCTCCGCTCAAGCGCACGACCTGCAGGACGCTTGGCTCACGGGGGCGCGAGTAGACCTGGGTATGGCCAACATCAGTTTCGAGGCGCGGGAGACACTGCAACCCATGCCCGCGGACTGCTTCGAGGACTCGGTGGCCGGTTTGAATCGATGGTTGGCTGATGCTCCATTTGTTGTAGTCTTTGTTCCGCAGGTAGAAGTTGGAGCTATGATTTGGGTTCCCAGGAGCCAGATTACCGAGAGGCCTTGGGCGCAGAGCGGCCCAACGTGCTGCCCATCTCCAACTCCCTCTACGCCAAGAAGTTCAGCTTCAGATGCCACAGCCTCGAGTACACTGCTGAGATGTGGGTGCCGCCCTCAAGCGTCGAGTGGGTTGGAAGAACGTACGTCCGCTGCTTGCCAAGTGCTTGTCAACGCTTGCCTTTTTTTGCATAGGCGGCGCCTGAGTTCACCCTGGCTCTGGAGTACCAGGGCGGCATCAAGTTGGGCAAGGGCGACGCAGTGCCCTTTGTGTTTCATCCCAGCCGCTCTGGCTCTGGCGGCTCTGGCTCCGGCTCCTTCGTGCGGTGGCGGGAGCAGCAGTGGACGGAGCTGGCCTTGGCGGATGTGCCGGGCCACCTGCGCAGCCATGGCGCGGGCGCCGAGGTCCTCGCGGCGCTGCTCTCCACTCCTCCGGCGGACCCCACCTTGCTCAACGAGCCCGAGCCCCACTTCGCCCGCTTCGGCGACTGGTGGAAGCAGGCGCGCTGGTACGGCCGTGCCAGTGGTGCGGCCGGCTCGGTGCTCTTGTGCGAGGCCGGCTCCGGCGCCAGCGCTCGCTGGCTGGAGTTTGAGGCAGAGCCGGGAGGCGCTTTGGTGGCCTTCCAGATCCAGGAAAGAGAGAGAGAGAGGGTTAGTCCCCGGTGCGGAATGAGGAAGCGGCCGCACGCTGTCAACGGAGGGCGTGAGCACTGTTTTGCTTCGTTTTGTTCTACTTGTGCTATGTTTCAAGGCTGCTCACATGATCATGCAGCTGCACATCCTGGTTTGCCGACCACTGATGTACCGACGCCGATGGCGTGCATACGTCAAACGAGTCGTGTTTTCCCAGGAGCACGGCCGGTGCGCGGCGCGGGAGGCGGTGTGGACCTCGGACGCGCGGCGCTCGCTGCTGGGCTGCGACGTGGAGGGCCGCTTCGAAGTCTTCGCGGTGCCGGCGCCGTTGCAGCGCCAGGCAGGGGACCTGCGGCCGGGCGCCTACGGCCGGTCCCTGGTGCTCACCTCCGCCGCACCCCGACAAAAAACACAAATAGGAAACCACAAAACACAATACAAAACACGGACGTGCCTAGAGGGACCAAGATGGGCGAAGTGGGAAGTGTGGAAGAAACGACACGTCGTGTTGACATCCTTGGAGGTGAGAAGGAACACGTGCCCAACATATCCTTGTTGTGTATCGTGTCTACCTCACAAAACGAAAATGCATAAAGAGCAAAATGTAATTCGAGATCACAGGATGAACAAGAGGCATCCTGGTCTTGCATGGCTAAGGCAGGAACACACGTGCCGCAGCGCTTCTTGCGCGGACTCCTACCAGAGGTCCTATTGCCTCACTTTTGCTTTTGGCAAGTCTCAGAGGACCTCATCAATGGAAGGCCTGGTTCAAAAGGATCGCGAATTTTGCTTGCAATAGCGAGTCTACGAGTCTGCCTGCAGGCCTCAACATCGAAACAGTCGCTGGTTCGGCTACAGCCTACAGCTGCAGATTGCAGATGGCCGCGCCCGAGTCTTGCGTTTAGCCCTGGAGACAGAGGTGCTGCATGAACTGCAAGATGCTACGCGGCCCAGCTCTCCGCTGTTCAAGCTGGGGGAGTTCATGAGCACGGTGGAACCCCTGTCACATGTGCTGTTCTGGTCCAAGCACGGAGAAGACGGAGAACAGATGGCCTCGCCGTTGGAGCTGGTGGAGATGCCGCGGCTGCAGCTCCGCTTTCGTGTGCGTGAGGGGCCCGTGCTCGATGGGAAGGTGGTCTTTCAGCCCAAGCTCTACTGTGATGCTTATGGCGGACAATTCTTCGTGGACCCCACTCCATTCCATTTGTTGCTGCCCAACTGTCCTCACGCCCTGCCACCCCACTGCTTTCTACTACGTGCTGAGGCAGGCGATGCCAAGGTGTGGCCCCGACATGCCATGCGCTGTCAAATCAGGCTCTCAAAGTGAGTGGTTTCTGTGAGGGACCGACTGACCCATTGTCAGATGCATCAGATGCAACGTTTCCGCAGGTCGTAGCTCCCCTGGGCGAGGTGCGGAGGCCGAAAGGGCCTTGCGTGCTTGCCCAGTGCTTGCCCACTTGCACCTCGTTTCGGATTTCGGCTTTGACAGGCACAGAAGCTATCAAGAGCCCTTTGAGACGGCCGTGTATCTCAAAGTCTTCGGAGAGACGTTCTTCACCCCAACAGCCGTCTATGACTTGGCCCTGTCCACCGGGACAGACCTGAAGTGCCCCAGTCTGCTCTCGGCAATTTGGCTGCTGCTGTGCCGGCTGCTGCAGAGGGACTACGAGGGCGCAGTGAAGCTCGTGCCAATGGTGGCCTCCGCTGATGGCCAGTTGCGCCATGATGAGCAGCTCGTTTCCGCCTCAGGGCCGTGTCCTCCTCTGTTGGAGCCTCTAAAACAGAACGCATATCACTTCCCTGTTACTTGTTCATGTTGCATCGAGCTGCTTGGAGCCTGGACTCAAGTGCCTGGACTCAAGTGCCTGGTGCCTTTGAGGCCTTCCGCATGGCTTTGGAGGATACCTCCGACCGAGCCCCTGATGCTGTGGCTGTCCGGGCACCCAGCATCAACTCGGATCCAACAGATCTGTGTGTGCCTGCGTGCCGTACAGGGGCGTGTGGGCGTTTGCGTTCGCGTTCGCGTTCGCGTTCGCATTCGCGTTCGCGTTCGCGTTCGCGTTCGCGTTCGCGTGCGTGCGTGCGTGCGTGCGTGCGTGCGTGCGTGCGTGCGTGCGTCGTGCGTGCGTGCGTGCGTGCGTGCGTGCGTGCGTG